AGAGAGACACCTCTTGTTTACTCAGTAATAATTCACAATAGTCACATAACAGGTGTCACCAGCTCCAGTACATGCAGTAAGGGCATACCACGCCCTCACCTCTGCCCCCATCATAGCTTACTCCTTGGGACACATCAACAGATTTTATTTGGATGATAGGACAGGGCCTCTTAAGCAATCCACCAGAGTTACCAGTGACGTTTTGACACTTGTGGGTTACACTGCAATGATGACCTAGGGGTAAAGAACAAAGGCTTTTTTTAATCCTCCCCTACAGCCAACTGGTATCTTTCCCACATATGTTGTTGCAGCATCTCTATATATAGAACCTAGTATTCTATAAACAGGATGCTCTGGCTGAACAGGTCTCAACAAGCAAAACTGTGAGGCAGAGAAAGGTGGCATCTCCCCATCTTCTCTTATTTTGCCCACCCTCCTTTGCTAAATCTTGTCAGATAGAAGAGCTCTGTGAAAACAGCATGGGCTTTGGAATTGGACATACTTGAGGAGAAATAATTCCTAGCTCAGCCTTTTATTTGCTGTCTGACCTTGGGCAAGTTACATAACTTCTTTGACTTCCAGCTTGCCCGTGTGCAAAAAAATGGAGATACTTCATTGGTTTGCATTATGGTAACTAAATAAGAAAACATTTGCAAAGAATCTAATACATGCCTGACTCTCCAGGGATGTGAGTTTGTTCTTCTTCATCTAGCACATCAGGTACCTGGTGCTCTCATGTTACTCTCTGGCTGTCTAAGGCCAAGGTTATGTGCCCTACACAAACCTTTCCTTCCTTTCCTAAACTCTGTCGAAGTTCTCATCCCTTAAAAGAGCTAATCTAGGGGCGGCTGGTTAGCTCAGTTGGTTAGAGCGCAGAGCTCGTAACACCAAGGTTGCCAGTTCAAACCCCATATGGGCCACTGAGTTGTACCCTCCACAACTAGACTGAAACAACTACTTGACTTAGAGTTGATGGGGCCTGGAAAAACACAATGTTCCCCAAAAACAAAAACAAAAAAAAAATAACTAATCTAATCACACTGCTAAAAGGAAAACAATTCTGATGAAATGAATTCAAGTAGAATGTGGATAATATTGCTGGGTTCCTATATTAACTCTGTGTGTGTATGTGGTTGGGGAGGGGGGTGGTCTGCATTTTTAAAAAGAGCCTGGAAATTCAAATGAAAGGAAGGACATCTAATGGTGAGTCTTTCTTAGAGGACAGGGGACCAGTGTATTGGTCTCTTTCCCTGCAAGCACAGCCATATCACTCTCTGGGCTGAGATGAGAAACCATCAGAGCTACAGGACATTGTCTCAGATTGCTGAATGTCACACCTCAAATCAACAGGTCCAGAATAGAACTTGGAAGCCTTAGCCACCCCTTCTGCTCTGGCCAGCACACAACACTCCCTTAGCCAAGAGGTCACGGTGGTGTTCTTTTGCCCAGGAGGTTTCCAACACTATTTAAAACTCTTTGGAATCAAGCAGCAACCGGCTCTGATTATAATCATAGCACTGGAACAGCCTGTAGGAGGCCTGGGCTCCACTTCAGAATCACACCTTACTTCTCCGAATGGTCTCAGTAAGGCCCAGATTAATACAGGAGGCACAATGATCCTGCATCTTGACTTCTCTCTCAGTAATCCAGGAAGGACGACCACAGGGGAATTTCTGGGCTTTCCATATACAGGATCAGGAAGCGGATTATTACGACTGAAAACGGCCGAAGTGTAATCACTTCGCCCAATGGGTTATGCTAACTATAAATCACAATTCAGCATGGGCGTTCTCATTTTGAGGTACTCCTTAGCACTGTGCATGTTCTATTGACTTTCTTGGCAAGCCCCCAGGGAGCCCAGGACACTAGCCCAGGCTGGGGTCTCAGGAGCCAGACACACTCCTGGGGGCATGAAAGAGACTGGCTGGCAGCTTCAGCAGGTGAAGTAAAGAGGAAGATGAAGTCCAAGGTGAGGGAGGGGCTGGTCCAGGCAGAATTATCCAACAGCTTGTGCTTAGGGAACAGGCAAAGCAGAGACAGTAACCAAAAGATGTTTTAAATTATTTTATATTTATCCAAGTAGTCACCATGGTAAAAATCATTTTTCCTTATCTGTGATGGATTTCCTTATACTTATTTTGTGTTTAATACTGTTTGTGAAATATATACTGAGAGCTGAAAGTATGACGGACATCATAATGTTATACTGCTTAGACCTCTAAAGTTCTTAATCTGGTCCTTGGCTTCAACAAGAAGCAAGAAAAATCGGGATTCCAAAGCTTCAAGATCAATATTCATTTCTTCATTCAATAAACATTTCTTGAGGGGCTAGCTAGTATAAAGTGCCAAGTCTTTGCTCAGTCCTGGGACACAGTGGCAAACAAAACAGATATGGTTCCTGAGTTCCTGGAGCTCACAGTCTAGTGAGAGGAGCTGACAACAAGAGCAGGATCCAAAGCAAAGGTCTATATTGGAAAACAGGCAAGATTCTGCAGTCAGAAACAGGACGCAGAGGGAGGAAACCTCTTCTGGGATGCCAGCGGAAGAGACTGTAGGCAGACAAGGAGCTACTGAGGGAGATGAGCTGGGTCTGATAATACCCTTATCCCCTCCCGCTCTGACCCCAGCCATTGGTAGGGGATAGATCCACTGTGGTGAGTTGAATTCATCAAGAACAGGTAACCAGGGCCCTCATAGCCAGTGCTACCATGAAGCTGTTCCTTGTCTGTTCACAACTATGAACTGTGATATGTGCTATGTGAGGGGCGTGTGAGATCCTGAACGCAGTTGTCTACTGGCAGGAATTCTACGAAGTATAGCAGGCCAGAAATGAGAAGCATAAAAACAATTGCCAGAAGAAGCTGAGTGACCCTCTCCCCAAATCTCACCCACACTTCTCTGACACTGCATGGAAATGAAAAATCAAAGCCTGATTTCAGGTGGGGCCAGGAAAAGACCTAGAGAAGCCTCCTGAGGTTTCTGCTTTAGGGTGTGACATGGCCAAGGATGAAGATAGGCTGTGCCTGCTGTTAGAGAAAGGAGCCATGCCAGCAGCTCAGCCCCAGTGCTACCAGACGCTGATGGCTGTGGTGAAGGTGGAGAGCTGACAACAGCAACAGCAGAAGCTTCAGAGTAAGTGCCCAGCCAGTAAAGCAGTGGCCTAGAGAGATCACCAAATATTTGACCATTTTGGGCCTCTGTTTCCTTATCTGAAAATGAAGATGATATTAAGAATATGTACTGGTTTCCTAGGGCAGCTGTAACAAATACTACAAACAGGGTGGCTTTAATCAACAGAAATTTATTCTCTCACAGTTCTGGAGTCTAGAAGTCCAAAATCAAGGTGTCGGTAGGGCCATGCTCCCTCTGAAGGCTCTAGGGAAGAATCTTTGCTTGCCTCTTCCAGCTTCTGGTGCTTGTCAGTAATATTTGCCATTCCTTGGTTTGTGGCAGCATAACTCCACTCTCTGCCACCATCTTCATGTGGCCATCTTCCCTGTGTGTGTCTCCCTCTCCTTTTAAGAACACCAGTGATTGGATTAGGCCCACTCTAACTCAGTATGACTTCATCTTAACTTGATTACATCTACAAAGACCTCATTTCCAAATAAGATCACATTCATAAGTTCTGGGTGGACATGAATTTGGGGTGGGGGGCAGGGTGGACACTATTCAACCCAGTATAGAGCATCTACCTCATAAAGAGTATGTATAAAGTGCTTAGGACAGTTCCTGGCACATAATATATGCTATGTAAGAATTAGCTACCCTTCTTCGTCATCTCTGGCAGATAGTAGCTACCATGGGATATGTGGGTGCTCTCTTATACAAGGATCATCCTCCCTCTATCTTGAGTCAGAAGCAAGAAACTGGATGGGACAGAGTTCGAAAAAGAGCTGATGAGGACAAAGCTAGAACACAGTGAGTTTATTACCATTCAATAACCCCCAGTCTGGAGTGAGGAAATATCTACTGCAGTCACTTCATTTGTTTTTTGAACAACACAGAACTTATCATTCCAAAGTAACAATGGCCCATTCAAAAGAGTCCCCAAATTAGGATCCACTTGGGGGGGCCTCCAGAGCCAATAGAGAACTGCATCAATGAGCACAGCAGTCTCATCATGTAGAGTCAAGTTGTGAGTTCTGATTCCAAATTGCTTTATACAATATATTCATCCCACAACTTAGAATGACTACTGACTGAATTTGGACTACTGACTGAATCGAAACAGTAAATAAATTCATTCTCTGAAATGGAGATCTGCTGTTTGTAGGACACCCTACTTTCAAATTAGAGGAAAGCATAGATTCTCCTGAAAGAGAATCCTTCCTGATTCTTGCTCATGCTCTTGCTCCTTCTTCTTCAATAAATGGGCTTGAAACTACCCAACTGAAAAGAAATAGAGCTACATCTCAACTGCTATCTTCATATCAAAATAAATTCCAGATGGAGCAGACTTAAATTCAAAGATTTAAAAATATACACACACAAATTACTTGAAGAGAATAAATGAGTAACTATTTTTATAATTTTGAGGTAGCAAAGCATGCCTTTTCTAAACACTGACCTAGAAGCAAAGAAAACTACAAAGGAAAATATTATTTTGACTACCTAAAAATGTAAAACTTCCAGAAAGAAAAAAAATGCATAAACGAAGTTGAAAGACAAATACCAAACTGGGAACAATTCTGTACTATATACAATAGTCAACACTTTAGCTCATACGAATTATTAGGAAAATATTACTGGGAAACATGCAAAGTACATGAATAAATAATCCAAAGAAAAAATATAAATGTCCAAAATACATTTGAAAAGATATTCAATCTTTAATATTCAAAGAAATATAAATTAAATCAATTTATTGAGTGCCACATCTCAGTTACTAATTGAAGCATTTTATTTGGATTAACTGATTTATTCCACCATGAAATAGGTACTATCATTATCCCTACTTTACCAAAGATGAAACTAAGGGGGAAAGTTAAATGACTTACCCAAGGCCACACAGTAAGTGGTTGAGTCAGAATTTAGGCCCCAGCAGGCTGGCTCCAGAGTCACATTCTCAACTATCATGTTACAGTCAAAAGACCATGTCTCACCTGTCAGGTAGGAAAGACAAAAAACACACAACCCAGTGTTACTGGTGATATGGAGAAACTGTCAATCTCATATGCTATTGGTAGAATTCAACATTCTTAAGGGTAGGTTAGCTCCATGAATCGACATTTTAAATGTGCATACCTTTTAACTCAGCCATTCCATTTCTTGGAATTTATCCTAAGGAGATAAGTAGACAAGTGTGTAAAGATTATATACCAGGGTGTTTATCACAGAATGTACATAGTAACAAAAATATTTCAAATAGGGCCAGCCGAGTGGCTCAGTTGGTTAAGAGCGCGAGCTCTGAGCAACAGGGTCACTAGTTCGATTCCCACGTGGGCCAGTGAGCTTCGCCTGAGCTGAGCTGCCGCTGAGCTGCCAACAGGTGGCAGGATGGCTCAGCTGGTGAGAGCACATGCTCCTAACAACAAGGTTGCTGGTTCGACTCCCACATGGAATAGTGGGCTATGCCCACCCGCAACTAACACTGAACACAGCACCTTGAGCTGAGTGGCCACAAGTGGCTGACGAGCGGCCGGATGGCGAATGGACTTGGAGCTGAGCTAGCTGCGCCCTCCACAACTAAGACTGAAGGACAACAACTTGGCTGTTCCCCTTCCCCAATTCCCCAACACTGTTCCCCATTCCCAATTCCCCAATAAAAATCTTTTTTAAAATTTCAAATAAAAAACTGAATAGGTGCACCAAAAGTCCAACAAATTCATTCATTCAACAAATATTTATTGAGTATCAATTGTGTATCAGGAACTGTTCTAAGCACCAGGTATAGTACAGTGGGTAAAAAAAAAAAAAATCTGTCTTCAGGGAGCTTACATTCTAGTGGAGCGTGTTAGGCAATAAACAAATTTTAATAATGTAGTGTATCAAATGGTGCTAAATGCTTTAGAGAAAAAGAAAAGAGAGAAGGGAGATAGGAAAGGGAGGTTTGCTACAATTTTAAGTAAGGGGGTCAGGGAAGGCCCCACTGATAACAGACAAAATATAGATTAAATATTAGAGAGAATGCATTACGGTAGTGCCACACATTGAAATAAAATTCAACCACTTATTCTGTATGAGTTAACATGAAAAGATGTTTATAACACATAATCAAATGAAAAAAGATTCTCACCACACACACAAAAAATAGGTAACTATGTGTGGTGATGGATGTGTTAACTATATTGTGGTAACCACTTACCAATATACACTCGTATGTACATAAAATTATTACATTGAACATGTTGAACCTACACGATGTCATATGTCAATTATATCTCAATAAAGCTGAGGAAAACGTGGAAAAAAAAGATTACAGGACAGTATTTAAAAACAGTATTAAGGTATGATTCCATGGATATGAAATTACGTGTGTATACGTGTTTATGCTTTAAATGGGAAAGAGGAACAACACAGAAAGATGTTGATAATACCAAGCAAGGGTTCAGGCTGAGTGCCAGACAAGTGGTACAGGCGGCATTTGTTTGTTCTCCCACCCACTCACTCATCCTCCTCCCCACACCTATACTTTTGTTCCAGAAAACATTTAAGGACAGCAAATCCACATACCCCCACAACTCTCCCTATCTTCCCTTACCCATTTCCCTCCTCTTCCCAGAAGCCAGGCCAGTGATAGGATGAAAGTGATAGGGATAAAAGCTTAAGATCAAGGTATGCTGAGCGAGCATAAGAAGGATGGAGGGAAACACCCACAGATCTAGATAGGATTCCTCTAATTTTGGCACATGGAAACAGTTCCTAGGAGGCACATTTCCTCCCTGTAGATCTGTAAGACTTAAAGCAAGGCTATCTGATTCAGAGTCCCTATTTCATCTCCTACTTAACCCCAGATGCTTTGCAGGGCAGCCAGGAGGTGACATTCACAGGGAGGTGACGAGGCACAGAAGGCCAGAGCTCTGCTCCTGGCACATGAATGCCTGTATCTTCCTATGAACAGAAAATGACACAGAGCTGAGCCCTTTTGTCCCCTACCTTACCCATTCCTCCATGCCTGCATCCAATAAGCTATCCTGCCTAAGTTAAACTCATGCCCAACCCCACACACCCACCTCCTTACCACACTACCCTAAAGATTTTCACGCTTCCCCACTAAGATTCTCAAAAATAGGTCCCTACCAAGAAAGCTGCCCAAGATGACCAGATATGCTAATTTGATTGGAACACTTTTAGTCTAGGGTGAGGTTTTAAGTAACCTGGTGGACATGGTCCAGATATATTTGCTCTCAGATATGTGGAAGCAGATTACACTTTCCACCTGAGCATAAAGCCACAAACAAGGAATTGGCAGCTTCCCAAAGGTGGAATCCATATTGCTATCCCCTATTTCTTTAGCCTGAGGGTAGGAGTGGAGACACATGAGTAGAGGTAGGGGATCTAGAGAAAGATTTGACTGTTTGCAAATATTTCTCACATAGTCTCTGTCATCTCTTAGATACTTACTACATGCCAGGACCTATGTTAAGTGCTTTCATACACTATCACCAAAAATGACAAATCACTTTTATCAAGCATTCCTACTATGTACTACTAAATTTAAAGGGCCGGCTGAGTGGCTCAGTTGGTTAAGAGCTCGCTCAAGAGTTTGAGCTCTGAGCAACAGCGGTTCGAGTCAGCCCGAGCTGAGCAGCCGTGAGCTGCCAACAGGTGGTGGGATGGCTCAGCTAAAAAATAAAAATAAAAAATAAAAAAAATAAAATAAATAAATAAATAAATTTAAGAAGCGTAAGGCACATACAGGTCCAGCCACTCTGCTGACAGCTGAATACCCAGGCTTTAAATTAGGAAGAGGGTAGAAATCTGAGATTCTCCTCGAGGCTGCAACTCAGAAGTCTCACTGCACACTATCAGGCCACAGCCTTCAGGCTTCATGCCAGTTTCTATTCTCTTTCCTGGGCTTTCAGCAGGGAACATAACACACACACACACACACACACACACACACACACACACACACACACACACACACACACACACACACATCCTCCAACATACTTAGTCTGCAAGTGGAAGAAATTCTTCACTAGTGAAGAGTACAAGATGAGTCAGAGAAAAACCAAAAGCAATCATCTCTTCAGCAGAGGAACCTCTTTCTCTCTCTCCACCTCTCTTGTCTTCCTTGAATATGTAGTTTTTAAGCAACCTCTATTATTCTCATCACTATAGGATATAATCGTAACACACATCTTCTGCCTTCAAGAATTTACTCCATTTGTGAAGACAAAAATCAACACACAGGAAATATGTTATAAAAAAGGGACCTCCAGATTTCTAGTGCATGAAATAGGAAGAACACATATGCTAGTAAGACAAACAGAGGGGTAGGTGAAGTAAGACAAATGGTGGGGTATCCTGACATACACAAATACCTTCAATTTCAAACACAATCTCCCCTTTTTTGTTCCATTCTTAGTAAGAGATGTGTTTCACTTCAAAAAACAAAATCTCAAAGGGGAATATATATATATATTTCTTTTTCATATTCACGGGTTGTGGAGTACAGCATAAGATGATAGTCAATGGAATTATAACAGCTATATAAGATGTCAGAGGGGGTAGTAACTTGGGGGAGGGAGGTGATCACTTTGTGAGGGGTGTAAATGTCTAACTATTACATTGTTTTGTACACCTGAAACTAATAAAAAAAATTTTTTTTTAATCTCAAATACAAAAATCCAAGACATAAAGTTGGGGATCATTCACTAGACAAAAGGGATCTCTCTCTTTGCTATAAAGTTTAGGGAGATACAATTTAATAATCCTCCAACTTCTGTCCCTGTTCTCACACACACACACACACACACACACACACAGTGTTCACATTCAACGTTTTAGGATCACATTTATAGGGTGAAGCAAAGTACTTTTTAAAAGTTTATAAAAAGCGGGCCGGCCGAGTGGCGCAATGGTTAAGAACTGGCTTAGGACGCCAGAGGGTCCCAGTTTGGATCCCACATATGAGGGCCAGTGACACTGCCCTCCACAGCTAAGATGCTGAACAACAGCTCAACCTGGAGTTGGGCTGCCGTGAGTCTCAACCTGGAGCTGGGCTGCCGTGAGTCGCCGGCGACGTAGGCTGCAGCCCCTGTGGCAGTGGGTTGCCATGGGCTACCGTATGTAGCCAGCAGCCAGCGTGAGCGGCCATCCAGAAGTCAGTGACTGATCTGCCTCGCCCGGGAAGAGCGTAATGATGGTGCCAACTTGGGCCAGTGAAGCAACGTCCTCCACAACTAGACTGAAGAACAAAATGACAGCAACTTGTCTGTTTCCCTTCCCCCAATTCCCCAGCACTGTTCCCAATCCCCCAATTCCCCAATAAAAATCTTTAAAAAAAAAAAAGTTTATAAAAGGCAATGTATTGACAGATGAATAAACAAAATGTGGTATATACCTAAAATGGAACATTAGTCAGCCTTACAAAGGAAGAAAATCCTGTCACATGGTACAACATGGTGAAATAAGCTAGTCACAAGAAGACAAATACTGTATGATTCCACTTTTATGAGGTATCTAAAGTAGTAAAATTTATAGCAAGTAGAATGGTAAGTTACCAGGCGCTAGGGGGATAGGAAAATGAAGAATTGTTTAATGGATATAAGAGTTCCAGTTTTGCAAGATGACAAAGTTCTGGCAATCTGTTGCATAACAATGTGAATATACTGAACAATACTGAACTGTACACTTAAAAATGGTTAAGATGGGGGCCGACCAAGTGGCTCAGTTGGTTAAGAGTTTGCTTAACAGCATGAGTTCTGAGCAACAGAGTTGCTGGTTCAATTCCCACATGGGCCAGTGAGCTTCGCCTGAGCTGAACTGCCACCAAGCTGCCAACAGGTGGCAGGATGGCTCAGCTGGTGAGAGCACGTGCTCCTAATGACAACATTACCTGTTCAATGGTGGGCTATGCCCACCCGTGGCTGGGACTGAACTTGGCACCTTGAACTGAGCTGCCGCCCGGATGGCTCAATGAACAAAGCGTGCGCTCTTAACAGCAAAGTTGCCGGTTTGACTCCCGCATGACAGAAAAAAATGGTTAAGATGGTAAATTTTGTTATGTTTTTCACTACAATTAAAAAAAAAAAAGAAAAGGCAATGCACACATGGGTTAAAAAAAAGCTTCAGCAGCACAAAAAAATATTAAAAATAAAAAACAGGGCCAG